ATTGGAGAATATGCATATGTTTATTGAAAATTTGTTTACACGTCAGTAGATATTGTCAAGCAAAGTCAGAGTACTTTTTTGTTCTCAATTCTGTTTTTGATGAATAGCTTCTGAATGGATAGAAAATTTATGTCTTTCTTAAGCGGATATTTTCTTTTGATACAGACAGAATTTTCGATAGAAAGTTCAATTGGTTTATCCAAACTAAACAGCGCACTCGTTTTTCATTAAGAGCGTTACTATCGTACGATGGTATTTATTGAACCAAAAAACAAAATAAATCTAGTATTATGACATAAGTGACACGGAATCGATGATACAAGCACGGTTATTAAATTCAAGAAAGCTGGTTAATGTCTTTGATATATTGAAGCTGTTGCTTTTTATGCCTTACTAAATTATGGACAGCGTCAGTAAAAAACTCTTTGTACGCGACATAAAACATTATTGATTTAATCAAAAGTTGCCATATTTGATAAGATAAATACGACTTGATGAATAAAAGTCAGCCACTGAAATAAGTAGTGTGTGTTAGTAGTTAGTTACAGTACATTGGTTGCACTGATTTTAAATGTAATTGAGAACGGATCAAGAAAGTTATATGTAATACACATATATAACTAATTTCTGACATGCAAATGAGTAGGCTGGGGTTTGGGAGTAGGGCTGGGAGGAGGAACAGGTGGGGGGAGGGTGCAATCAAGTACATATTGTAAACATAATTTTTGAGTAAATTATCCCTTTACATTTCTTAAATCGTTAAATAGGAGGAGGAACACTTCGTCTCTGAGCGAAAATGGCAAGCATTAGACTTTCGCTTCTCCGGCATAAGTTTTTCCGTGATGCAGATCAGAAGTAATGTGGCACATAAAAGCGCAGTCTTAATACTCAAAAAAATGCCAGAGCTTCTGATAATCAACAGCTTGTTAAACAGCGAAGGTTATGGTTTTAAATGGATTTATTCAAACTTTACTAGCATAGAGTCAAGTTAAAATGCTGCTGATCAAACAATCAGCTATGCACAAACAGGGGATGATAACAAAGTGCTGTTATTACTTGGACATGATGGCAAATGTACAGCAACATTTATGAGCGAGTTTGCCAGAAAGTACGAGTACAATAGTCTATTTAACGAGTCCAGTCAATTTAGACGGTGTTCCACATGGCTTTACTATCGCAATAAACTCATACCAAGTATGAAGATAACAATTACGTGGTTGCTGATGAGCAATTTGGCCATTGTTATTGTTATTATGTAGTTCTGTGTGGTGCATTTGTGGACATAATCAACTCGATGAGTTTATTAAGAATCTCAATTACAAGGTGACTATCAAATATTCATACCACGAATGTTTATCTAATAAAGGAGCGACATAAGGCCGGATTATGTCTGGTGTGTACAAAGCAATTAGAACCCAATGTATTTTGTTTCAAATGTAAAGCGCCAATATAGCAGATTAACGAAGATGTATAATATACGCAGTATACCGACTTGGTGAAATTGAACAGATTGGAATTGGTGGTTATGGAACAGTTTATACTGCCAAATAACGGCAAGTCAGAAAAGATATGCCAAAAACTATTGTACTTGTACGATTAACCAACACAACATTTAATCTGAATTTATTTAATAGTTCAGAAATCATGCCAAGTGTCTGCGTTTTGACTTTCCTTAAAATTTGTGGAGTGACAAACAAAATAGTAGACATGATTGTTATGCAGCATGCTAACAATGGTAGTCTTTTGTCTTATTTGGATCAAAATATTGACGTGGAAGAAGAAATTACTGCATTTGAGGATTGGTGCATTGTGATCTTCATGGCAGAAACATAGGTTTACATTAGCATAATGATATGCATTATATAAGTTCACCCATATGTGATCTTGGTCAGTGAATTCGCGCGAGCCACATTCAACTATTCGAGGCATTGCACCAGAAGTCTTTCATACTTGCATATTCACAAGGGAATCAGACACATATCCTTTTGGTATTATTATGCATTTGATGGCCGCTATTGAACCGCCTTTTAGAGATAGGCAGTTCAATAGCAATTTAATATAAGATATTATGACTGGAGTTTTGCGTTCTTTATTTGTTTACACCTACGATTGAACACTAAAGGTGTACAGATATTATGACTGGATTACGACTGATTCGAGGTAGAATGCCATCGAAACAGTCTAGTCCAAGGGATAACTAAAGCTGATTAAGTAGTTGTTATGTGGTGTCAAATGGTATGACATAGTAATATGTTGCTAATTCCATTCTTCAACGATTAGTAAACATCACCGCGCGTGCTCTAATTACCAATTCAGTATTAGTAACAAGCTTGCGTAAAATTTCATTGGTCCATTCATTATGTATGCAGGTCAAAGAATTAGATTTACCAACCAAAAATAACATCCAACGGTTGGATGTAACACATAAATTTGACCCCGTGCACCCTCAGGGTCAGCACTCTCTCTTAACGCGTCTCACATAGTTAAAACATAATGTCACCTGCACCTGAGCTGTCGGAGCTTCACAAACATGGATCAAGTGAAAGTGACGACAACGACTTGTCCGACTTGGGAGAACCAGATCTCGGTCAAGACAGTGAGCTATTCTATTATTACTAACATGTATTACGTGTCTCTTTAGTTCGAAATCGAGATCAACATTGTTCATTTGCAGGAATCGTACGCCGGGTGGACAGAAACTTTGGCGAGGCACTAAAGGCAGTTTCGTGTAGACGTAGGAGACGTAAGAATGTATGCCTCTAAATTGTATTATCGTTCAGTAACCCTGTCGTGTGTCAAGCTATTCATGTTTGAACGTTAATGTTTCTTCCAGGATCGTCGTAATGAAGAAGCTCGACGACTGTATTCTCTAATGATATCTGCAGCAGGCCAAGATATTACACTTAACAATCAAAAGAAACCAGCAGTAAAGAAACTCGAACATGTTGACGATGTGACATGGCTTCTCAAGAAGGCAAACATGCTAGAGCCTCTACTAGAAAACAATATATTGGAATCAATAAGAACATGGTTAGAACCATTGCCTGATGCATCTCTTCCTAACATTTCTATCCAGAAGGGTCTATTTGAAGTTCTAGAGAGGGTATCTATGATTAGGATTTGATTTTTTGGTTATATTGTGAGAATCTCTTTGATGCTGTGTATACTTATCGACGTGTATCGCCAGGTTCCCATGTCTATTGAACTCTTACGACGATCGGGAATTGGTAGAATAGTGCATTTCTATGAAGAGCATCCCCGCAACGATGCGGATATAACGAAACGAGCAGCTAAATTGGTTGTTAAATGGAGCGCGCCAATATTCGGTAAGAGCCTCGATTATAAGGACAAGAGGATCGTATATTATGAACCGGATAGTGGAGAGATTCCGTGTCTGGATGGCATTCGCGGAGGTGTCACGTTTGCACCTTCTTCTAACGGAATGCTTTGTAAGAGGAGAGGATATGATCCATACAGGAACCTGAAATGCCGTATGGCACAGATGAAGAAGGGAATCAATGTTAAATGATCAGCATGAAAGAAAAAGCGAAAAGAGGAAAAAAAAAAACGGAAAAAAATTCAAAATCAAAAAAAGGATGGAATAAATAAGGGAGTATGAGTGACCGAGATACAAATCTATTGAATAAATGTAAGGGTTTATGCAGAGATTTGGTTTTGTCATTTGGTATCGTCATTTCATTCTCTCTTGATTCACGGCCAATTTCTTTTTTTCTTACCACATTTCTGCAATTGGTGGTATCTCGCATTAAAAGGTCAACTTGTTCACCATTTCCTTCTTTTCAATCACGCCCTTCAAGTCTTTAAACTGTTTGACGCGACAAGTTATTATCAACCCTCGATCTTTTAGCCTGTTCACAGGCTGCATCTAGGGTTTTCTCTGAAGCTACGCGCAGACGCTTCCGCTACGACTGTTGGAATTACAATTTTGGTTCGGATTCGGCACAACCTTTCTTGACAGTCTCAAACGATCGGATAGTTCAGCGTAGTAAGTTGGCGTATACATTTCCAACTAGCGAATCTTTTAAGTGAACATTTTTCACCCATTATTAGTAATGATTGTGCGAGAGTCCAATAGTTCGATTGTATTGGAAAACGCAACTGAAAGAAAGATGTTTACTTTTGAGATATTCTACAAAAACCATTGGCTCAAAATGGTAACGATACAACTGTTCTAACTAAACATGGCAATTAATATTTACACAGATGGAAAAACGGAGAATTTGTTTTTTATGAACCGTCATCCTGTTATAGAAGCAGACGTGGTTTGTTAGATTATCAATTCGACAACATCCAGTATACTGTCACTTGTATATAAAGTATAGATTTATTGTGCACCAACGTACATTGTGTTTATTGAATCTATGTGGTACAGAAAATAATGTTACAACAAGATGCGTCTCATTACAGTCAGGTCAGGTGTTACTGACCAAGGCCCTGATTCGGCACCAGGAGACTATAAGTGTTATGATGCCCCATTCTAACAACCGTCCAAAGAATAGTTCAAAGACTGCTTGTGTATCACGCCTCAAGGAACATCAACACTGTGTAGTTATGATGTTTTCAGTGAGTGGCAGTGAGCGGCAGGTATGATTGATCGAAGATGGATATTTCTAAGTCTTCGATTTTTAACAATTCTGGTGACTTGGAATATCGGCCGGAATGACATTTTCTGAATTTCATTAGATATAGTGATATTGATAGTGAGAGGGATTAAATGTATATTTTAAAAGTGGCTCCCCGGTCATATAGTTGCATTATGTGTTTCCTTTTTGAAAACTCAAGAAACGCACTGCTCTTTCTCATAAATATGCCTAGATCATCCTAAGAATATTGATGCATCGTCACGACTGGGTCATATACATAAAATAGTATTCCAGTTTATTGGGCGGGAAACAATTCTAGTTGTTGTATCATGAATTTTTTGACATAAAATTAATGCTGATTTTTATTACAGATGAATAAACTTCTATTGACTGATCTTAGTCGCTTTCACCGAAATAATATTGAGTTGACTTTGCCCGTCCACTCTTCCGTGTCTGAATAGACTTAAGTTCTGAACGCTTGTCGACAGACGTGGCGGATGAAGTAGAGACAACGGCTTTTTTCGTGGTACGTTTTTTACGCGGAATATATTCTTCATCGGACGGAACAGCCTAAAATATTGCAGTTTCAAGCATAGTCCGTCAGTCACCAAACGATGGCGAGTCAAGTAGGCGGTATAAGCTTTATCTACTTACCCTTGGACAGAAATCATCATCAGAATCAGACAAAAGAATCACTTCTTTAGCGGGTGCTGGTTTCTTCTTAGGAGCACGTTTTCCTGATGAGGACTTTGTAGGCTTCTTAACCTTGCCACTTGAAGAATCTTCCGTCTTCTTGACCATCTCTTTCCAGGAAACCATGAATTCTTCCAGGTCTTCTTTCCATAAATCTTGTGGAGATTTGCTTTTTAAGATGTCAAGCTGGTTTTGCTTGGCGTCTCGATCTTTCTTTAATTGTTCGACCTGCATTAAGATGAACGAATTGTAAATAATAATAAGTGTAATTGTACAAATCACTATCAATACGAAAAGACTAATCATACTTTCTCCCATGTCAAATGCCAAATAGACATGTTCAACAAATAACCGAATCCTTCGGCATCATTGGCAGTTTCAGACGAATTGTCTTCTTCGGATGCGTTGACATTCTTATAGTCACGTTCCTTGAGTGTACGGACTATAGCGTTTCTCTTGCGGTTCTGTATTACTAGTTTTCCTTCAATAATTTCTGTAACGAATCGTACTTTATTCTCAAGTTGTTCACAACCTTTCCTCAGCTCGGATACAAGCCATTCCTAATAATATACAAGAAGGATAGAAAGCATGAGACCAAGGCCTTAGAAAATGACCTTATAAAGCAGTTTCCAATGATAGTAGTATTCCTACTGACCTTGCGCTTCTCATAATACTCCAATCGCAGCCGGTAGAACTCGTTCATAATTTGGTTAACAGTAGCGTATTTTTTGATTTTCAATTTTGAATCAAACAGGACCATATTTGTAGTCTTGAACGATTTTGTCAATTTGAATTTACTCTCCAAGCCTTCCGCCACGACTTTTTCCATATTCTCCTCCGTCAAAGTCACAACGAAATGAACAGACGTATCTGTATGATATTCCTTATAATCCTGTTCGAAATAAATTCATAAGCCTCACATAGATAACATGAAGATAGCCAACAGAAAGCATTCAACAATCTTACTCTGATAAATGGTTCCTTTTTCCCTTTTTCTCCTGTCATAAAGTCCTCGAGCATTTCCTTATAATTCTGAGTCCATACACCGATGGGTAGTTCTGTAATCTCGAGAGTGGTGCTGTCAATTTGTTCTATGATTCCCGATACTTTGTATGAACCTTCAGATTCTTCAATAATCTCGCCCTAAGTCGAATGACATTGTGTTAAAACATGCACAAGAAAGATACGACAACGTATGAAATGACACGCTGCACGTAACATCAAACATACTTTAAACCCATTATACCAGGGATGCATTTTTTCGTATTCCTCTCCCTTCATTTTGCGCAATAAATTATTTACAATGTCTTCGGGATTATAATTAGGCAATTTGCAACTCCATCCAGTTCCAATACCCTCAGCTCCGTTGACAAGAACCATAGGCAATATAGGTAAGTACCTGAAAACAAAAACCTTGTCATCAGTTGCTCAATACCAAGTGTAGAATTGTGCACAGCTACCCACCACTCGGGCTCAATAGATTGTCCGTCCTCATTCAAATAGGTTAATAAGGCATCATCCTCCTTTCTGAATATCTTTCTTGTTAAATCTGACAGGCTAGTAAATATATAACGAGGACTAGCGGCATCCTTTCCACCTTGTAGCCGCGTACCAAAGCATCCCGCGGGAAGGAGAAGATTAATATTGTTGGCGCCGACATAATCCTGAGCAAGCCCAACAATAGTCGATGCCAAGCTCTGTTCTCCGTGATGATACGCAGAGTGTTCGGCAACGTAACCTGTGAAATGAGAAGAGGAGATTATAGTCAATTGCGGCGAGTAAAATAATATGAGGATTAAAAGTTGAAGAGAAACCCTCGTAATAATCCATAGACGTGATAGCTTTACCTGTAAGTTGGGCAACTTTCATTTCACCTTTAAGACTACGCTTGAAACAGCTGAATAGAATCTTACGCTGTCCCGGTTTCAATCCATCGACTACACTAGGAATCGAACGGATATTGTCGGCCATGGCTTATCCCGATAAATACAAATATGTTTGCTTTTGTTAAAATAAGCACGCAATATGAATGGTGGCATACATGTTAACTTACAGAATAATATAAGTTCCTTGTTAATAAAATCTTTAATTTGTATCTCGCGCGCACTATGATCCATATACGTCCCAGGCTAAAGCAGACAAATCAACATTATAATCAATATAATTGCCAAACATGTCTCGCAATCTACCACTCTTTGTAATCCATCGTTCGCATGCTCAATTTATAAGCCTAAAATTCTTTTGTGATAACGTAATATACATTTGCTTACCTGAAAATTCGCTAGCCATTCTTTTCTATCATCCGCACGTTTTTTGTTAAACGCCATGTCGATTAATTTCGTGTCGGTCTCATCAGCGACAGCGAATGGTTTCCGGTGCTTGTCCATCATAGAAAAATACTTTCGAGCGTCGTTGGCAGTGCTCGTGCCCAAACCCTACAGACAGCGTATTAGGCAAGAATTAGAAAACTATCTTTACAGACACATGCCAAACATGTGTAATGAAAGATACCTTGTAGTATTTGATATTCCAGCCTTTTCCATCGTTGTTGGCCGCTTTCCATGCTTCATATTCTGGTATAGTATAGAAGCTGATTTCTTGTGAATTCCTAGTTGCCTGATTTACAAATATAAAAATGATAAGTCACGTGATTCGATCTACATTTGGAACGTGAATATTTTTGGTCATATACCTTTACGATTGGTGTTATGAACTCGAGTAGAAAGCCAGGTAACTTCAACAGAGACGGATAATAATGTTCCAAGAAATTTATTATCAACCCTTTAATGTGTGATCCGTCATGGTCCTAATTGGTACAGGAAATGAATAATAATGAGGAGTTGCGCGATACGATTCTGCATTGATACATTCTCATACTCTTGCAGTCAAACGGTAATACCTGATCGGTCATAATCATGAGACTTCCGTATCGTAAGCTCTCGGTGCTCTTATATTCCTTCCGGTGTTGCAATCCCAATATTTGCTTAATGTTGTTTATTTCTTGATTCTCGGATACTTGCTTCAGATTGGCTTCTCTCACGTTCAACAGCTTTCCTCTCAAGGGAAATACCCCGAAATGGTCTCTTCCAACAACTGACAACCCACTGACAGCCAATGTCTTTGCTGAATCTCCTTCCGTGAGAATCAATGTGCACCTCGATCCATTTCGAGTACCAGCGTGGTTAGCATCATCAAGTTTTGCAATTCCGCTAATGCGAGTAAGTTTATGACCGTCTGTTTTTCGAAGTTGCTGGTCTTGTTTAACTTTCATAAATTTAACAAGACTGTCGATTATGTTTGTTTTAAGCACTAGAAAAAAAAGTATATAAATACTTCTATGAGTCTCTGGTAAGTCTTCTATCCGTAATCTTGATAAATGTGAGCCAATAAAATCTCACATCACGCTATTTACCTTTTTTTCTAAATTCGTTGCTCAACGTAGCAGTGCTTCCAAACGCACTTCGTTGTAAAGTCAAGGTCTCTTTCGTTTGGGAATCGAAGGTCGGATTCTCTATCAGACAATTTAAAAAGATCCAGAGGTGATTCTTAATTTGAGCGGGTTTTGGTGGGTTTAGTTGTTTCAACTTTTTCTTTATTGTCTCAGTAATCTCGCGAACAAGTTGATCTGCAATGTAATTAACATGCGTTCCGCCCTTCGTTGTGCAGATACTGTTGACAAAGCTGACCTTGAGGCCGCAAAGGGGTATACGGAAATATATTGTCAATTAGCTGGTGGTATTCAAAAAAGGGCAAAGATTTCAATTCAATTCCTAGGTTCACCTGTTGAGCTTGCCCATCGCTGATACAAACACCAACTTCCCATCGATCGTTAACGTTTTCGTAAATAAGTGTCGGCGTCGTCTCTCCATCTGTTACATCCTCTTTAAGGTATAGCTCGCAATACTGCTTAAAATTCTTCACTTTTATTCTCTCTCCATTCAAAAACACCTTTACATTTTTTACAGTTCCGGCTAGATCATAGACGCGTTTAATAAGAAGCGCCTCGGTGTCTTTATCGATTTCGGTCATGCCAAATTTTCCAAGGTCGGGTTTGAATGTGATGCGAGTAAAATCTTCCTTTTTGCTGGCTGCCGTAAGTTTAGGTTGACTCATTTGCCCCATGTTTTTTGAAAATGTCTATCTCAAATAAAAAATTCAATACACTAAATTTGTGTTGTTATCAGTATATATAATAACAGCAATGATAGATCGATCACCTGAATGAATGCTTTCCCTGATTGTCTATTGTTTGTTTCAACAGTGAATTCAGTACTAAATATGTTACATAGTTTAGCTCCGTATCCATTCCGTCCTCCAGTGACTTTTTTCTCGTCATCGTCGTAATTAGACGAGGTGAGCAAGTGTCCGAATATTAGCTCTGGCACGTAGACGTTTTCTTTCTTATGAACTTCCACTGGAATCCCCTGCCCATTATTATATATGGAAATGGTGTTATTGGCCGTATCTATTGTTACTTTAATGGTATCCATCGATGGATCGCGAATCTTGCAAATCGAATCACATTGGGATTTGGGATAGTTAATAAATTGTATACAAAAGGAAAATATGCCAATGGACTAGATTTGAAAATTTCAGAAGGACCTTGTTATCAGCCGCATTTACGAGGATTTCATCGAATATTTTGTACAATCCAGGGACAAAAATTACTGGACGATAGGTCATTGCTTCCTTGTCTTTGTCAAACACCCATAGTGTGTCAATTATCGCTTGTACCGAACCAATGTATGTATCTGGACGTTTTAGAATATGCTCGATTTGGGTGACTTTCTGATATGTTTCTGTGCAAATCAGAATAAAAATTAATCGTTAGGTAGTCGCTTGTGGCGTGCTTCTTTGTGAAAATAAGCAAGGTGTCGCCTCAAACATATTCGAGAGGCAAGCCAATGATACGCTGAGACGATTGACATTAGGACTGGACTGACATAAGCATTACGCATTGCTCACCTTCAATAGTCTTCTTCACTCTTGGTCCCAACGGTGTAGATACCATTTTCAAGCTAATTGATAATGTGTTATAGTCTAAGGAATATCTTGCAAGAGTAAACGAGTATGTAGTAAAGGGAAAGGGATTATGCAGAGGGAAATTTGTTTGTGAAAAGGTTTGTTTACATCACATCATGAGCGACGTGACATTGAACGCGTATTTTATAAATGGCAAATCGAAAAGGAGATCTGCAAATTGATGTCTCCATACGCGCGGTAATCATGACATTTTGGAAGCAGGGTTTTAATAAGCTAAGGCGATATAAGTTGTTAATAAAGTCATGCTCGTTTCTCACCCTTCTTCAGGCAATGACAAGATTGCTTAGTGAACTAAAGTTTAGTGTATTATAATTAGGCGGTTATAAATCGTTTCAAATTTCATGTGCTGAGGGAATATTTAATCTAATACTCATCATCTCTTGTGACTGGATTAATGAAGATCGTATTTTTAACGAACTAGCGTTGATTAATATCGCCAGTTAAAGCTTTGCATAGCGACTAGATTTCTCGCTTGAAAACGACCATTGATACCTTCTTAATTAAAATATCTTTATTAGTGAGCATAGTAGGACTGTACACGTCACTATATATCTTTGAAACGCATGTTTGCACATACAATCACAAGAGTTTGACTTAATAATAAACCTCCTATTACCATTTGCCAGGTCAGAAACCTGTAACTTGATAACATAAAAGAATGCTTGTCTTCTCTACCATTCTTGGAATATTGATTCTAACATAGTCTCCAATGTAAAGTCTATTTGTATTACATTGATACTCACAGTATTTCCTGGCATGACTCTATCTTTGCTAATTATTTGTTTAATTCAGTCTGTAAGCATTTATTTATGTTGTATAAGTGTATTTGTCTTTTAACACCCAGTGAGTTGACTTGCATAGAATACTGTTTAGCTAAATGTAAAGTTTCCTTAGGACATTTACAAGATAAATACGTTAGGATGCCATATGTTATTCATTTCATTGATCGTGGTGCCTTTAATTGAATAGCACAATAACATGTACTTGGTTTTAATTTAACTGATAAGAGTGAACACAGCGGGTGAAACTCTAATCAAAGTTCCAATTTCAAATGTACTAATCTGCATGTGGATACATTATACATTTACTTGTCTTCATGGAAAATTAAAAATTGATATTCTAATTCGTCACGTTAAGAATGCTCGTATACAAAAAATCAAACCCATTAAATCCTACTACTATAATTCGATGTGTATCGACATATTAGTGTTCATGTTGCCTAACTACAGATAAGTACTATTATAAGTACAATATAAAAATTGGAAGAACTTACTCGTATTGTGATTTGTTCAAATCTCGAGTCACTAAATTAATGAAATAAAAAAATGTTAAATTGTAACATTATTTCAATTTTTTCAATGCGTAACCAATTGTTGTTGCCTTCATACCTGCAATAGCAACTATTTCTCAATCTTAATCTCCAGTAGGTAAGAGCTTCCTAGAGTATTTACTCTCTTTCTCGAGACATGATAAGGGTTTTACATTATTGTGATACAGGTATCCCAGACGTTGGTGTTAGAATTACACTCAATAGTAAGATTATTAATATAATCCATAAGTTCATCCACATCAGCATCACAACAACGCTGAGCAAGTTTTTTGTATTCTTCTGGTGCTGGATCAGGCATCAGTGGTCGTAGTCCATCCGAAATATTGCCCTATCTCGAAAAGGTGGTTCACCAGTGGCCATCAAATGCATGATAATACCAAAAGAATATACAGTGGTGTTCAAAAAAATGGCACAAAATTTAGTTTGTATATGTATAACTCGGTCAATTATCAAAATAAACGCGTAATCGATGGATCAAAACAAAGCTTATGTAATGGACTACCATTTCCAAACAGACTTATTTTCAACTTACTTCGCGCTTTACCCAAAACAAAAGCGTACAATGTCGCAATCCGCTAACGAAAGACAATGACAAACGATATTATATTATTGGGAGAAGGGAACTTAAAGTGTGCGACTATATGTTTGTACAAATTTTTCCACTATCGCATGTACATCGTGGTAGAACACCAAACAATATTGTTTAGTAGATGGTTCTTTAGTGATACCAATAATCCAAATACTATCTGGAGTTAACGGATATTTTTCAGTCTGCTATTCGAGTAAACAATACGGTCGTTACAATAATATCACGCGACGCCGCTTGAATTAATTCTACTATTGAAAAGAATTTACCTGATAAAAATCAAACGGCTGAGCATCAACTATCCGTTTGAGTGTCACTCTTGTCGGTTCATCCGCTGTCTGCTCTAACCAGTCTGCTACATGTGTGCATCCATGGCATAATGATATCATCTCTTGTACGTTTGTCAGCAAAGAGTATTCGATCCATTATATATAGGCATCATGCTTATTCTTCACATTCCTCCACGACTCCATAATGAATGAATCCAAAGACTTGTTGCCAGTCGTCCAATCAAGAGGCCTTGGTGCTTTACATCCATAACAGAATATTTATCTGAGATGGTAACTGACATATATACGCCAGACATAATCCACTCCCATTCCATGCTTTTATTAGACAATACATTTGTTTACTTGCATCATATGTATCCAAACATTCGTAGTAAGAATATCTGGATGCCTTTCACACAGCTAGCGGAAATTATAAGTCAATATTTAGCTAAACAATGGATAAACAAGCACATATATATTCGTACTTCGATAGTCACCTGTCATAATATAAATCATACGTCTCATCCGTTATTTCAAGGAATCAATTTTAACTTGTGCAGAATCAGAAGTAGGTAGACAACACAAGTATCCATAATGTCCCCAATCGTCAATACAATCAAATGGAATCCATTCCAAATAGGCATCATTTGCAGAGTTTGTTTGTAGTCCATCCATTGGATAATTGTTTATGTCCACAGATGCACCACACATGTAGTGCAGAATCCATATCGAGAATAACAATGGTAAAGCGTCTCTTAGCGACCAAGTAATAGTTGTTATCTCGGTAAAGCCAATTATGAGTTTGTTGCGCTCCTTGAGCCAACTTTTGTATCTTCTAAACTGATTAACGTAATTATTGTAGTGATAAACCCAAGAATAGCGTTGGGAAAGTAGAGTATCAGATGCGTTTGCGCTGGAGATTATGGCGTTTGCTAGAGTTGTATAATGCGTATTTGACTTTAACTTTATAACATATTAGTGAGTTTGTTGCGACATTTTACATACTAGTCGTATCGTAAACTAACTCAACAAAGATAAATCTAATTTGTTTCGCAGTATTAAATATTTGCTAACAGGTGAGAGAAAAACATAAGCAAATATACAATTAGCAAATTTGACTTTACAAGAAATATAAACATTAAAATAGCTTTAACTCGATTAATTGACTATCTACCGAGTTTTTAATTCGTTATTGTCTGAACCCATTTTTTTGCCAGATGCAGCAATGCTCCTGTTTATACCTCTTCTATGACCTTTTGTTTGTACGATTGGAGGCATGGGATTTGTTCTTTGTGTAATTCCTGTACACGTTTTGTGACTAATAATTTAGTTGTAGTGGTATCTTTCACGACCAGAGATTATAGGAATGTACCAGATTATCAGATCGAATACCAACAAAGGAGAAATCCAAAACATTGCAGTAGAGGACGTCTTCGTATAATTATAATCCGTGTGAATTAGACCGTGGAGTTTTTTGAACAGCAGTTATTGATTTAGAAAGGTTACGTCTCCTTTCCGTATATATTAGTCCAGTATTAATGACAGATAGTACGCTACTTGCATGATGCATGGGCAGAATTTCAAATGATATGCGCATTTATTATCTCACATTTTCTAATACAAATCTGTTGAAAATCAATCGAGTTAAAAACCGTGTACATTACATTTTATATTTACATAAAACTTTTGTCAAGAATGAGGAGAAGAAATGCGATGTCAGGTGAATGATCACAAATCTTGTGTCAGGTGAGTATTTCACAACAATCATATAAAAAGAACCATTATAGTCAATAATTCAGATACTTTTTTTCCGACACTTTTATAGTACATATAATCATCGTATGGACTAATTTGGACTAGTGTATAAAGTGAGTAATATCCGAATTATTTGTTGACTATAATAATAAGAGGAATTTGTTACACATCCGAAGTGTTGCACAGCTAATAATACAAGTGGGTCTCGATATAACGACACGCTTGGTTCCAATCCAATTGGTCACTATATCGAGAATTAACTTACATACGACAACTAAGCAATATAAAATTTTCGTTCTAAGATTCCTGTCGTTATAACGAGATGTCGTTATATAGCAGTGTCGTTATATCGAGACTCACTTGTATTTCTGTTTATTGTAGTACTCAAATATTTATCCTTTGTACAACTCTTCTGCTTCTGTTCGTAAATAAATATTATGAGTTGTGCAACACTTCGGATAATACAGTCGACTGCGGATAATTCGACTCCCCATAATTCGACTTTCCCAGTAATTCAATCGCCTTGAGCAAAACCCGATTTTTGTTCACGTCTGTCGTTAATTCGACCGATAACTTCGGAATACAGGCGGTCGAATTAAAAGTTGACTATATCCTGATTATGAAAAGAATCTTATTTCCGAGAATGAATAGAATAGTATAGTATATAAAGCCGACCCCATACTTTTCTGCATGCTGCTAACCATTTAAAGCATGAATTTGCTTAATAAAGATTAGTACAGAAAATGACAATTACCTGCATGCCATGTCGCAGGTCGTACGAGCACAAATATTATACGCTCTTCTCCATAAATAGAAATACAATGGGGCTTTACGACGTGTGTCGGGTGGGTTGTGCAACGTGTGTCGACAATAAGTATACTATGCCCATATCCAGTATGTAGTTCATTCATGAAACAATTGTTGCAGATCCCAATAACGCAAATATAGTAAAATCATACCAGATGCAAAAATCCTTTCTCGTCTTTTTTTTTTTTTGGTTTGTTGGGCAAAAAAATCAAGTAATATGACAAAGTCGAAACAAACGACGATAGAACATTCTTTCAGTACAAACTGATAAAAAAAGAAAGTTTCATCTCACAAGAATTCAAGATTTAAATAATGGTCATTTCGGCAGATTTCGACATCAAGTCCTGCTCGCTTGTCAATATGAAGTTCCCCACACTTATTATACTCATTCTCGCTGTCATAGTAACCTTGGTTTCTGCTACCTCTCAGCTACAAAGTAGAGATGACATCAAGGATCTTAAATCTAGCCTCACGAAATATGAAACTTGCGACGTTGGATACCATTTATGTTCAGCAAGTCAAGGCGGCGGATGTTGTCAAAATGGCTACACATGCACTTCTGGCGATTATTGCATTAAATCAACCGGCAGCGGCAGTGGCGGCAGTGGCCGTAGTTCACTCGGCAGTACATCCATCGAGCTTCTGGGAATGACCATTATTGTCTTAATTTATATGTGTATGTAACTTGGATACACTCGGCAGTACATCCATCGAGCTTCTGGGAATGACCATTATCGTCTTAATTTATATGTAACTTGGATATACTCGGCAGTGCATCCACCGAGCTTCTGGGAATGACCATTATTGTCTTAGTTTATGTATAACTTGGATATACAATATTTTCTATGTTTGTCAGGGCTAATGTCCGTATTTATTAAATAATCAATGTAATAACCTCTTTTGATAGTGATGGGCATAATCGTGATGGATGTTTGCGAGCCTACAGTGTGCTAAAGGTGGTGGGTTAAATCACGATGGAAAGTTAATTACAGTGAGGTTAAATGCTTTATTGTCATGATTATTGTAATAAAATAAAATAGTCTTATTGTATATACATGCCATCAGCAGAATAAGATTTAATACGGTGGATTAATTAGGCTAATCATCATGCTTAAATTTCGCAATGATACGCTAAGACCAAGATTTGATAGAAGTAGTAGCAATAACGATAAACATTATTATATGCTGTCTTGTGAGAATCGTTATCGATAATTTTTTCCGACACACTGAGTAGCCATTCATCAAATCATAGTAATAGCTAACACAAATGGACTAGTGCATAAAAGTGTCGGGAAAAAGTGACGATAATCTTTATCGTTGAACAAATCTTGTATGCAATACACTTGAATAAGCTCCATTATAGATATGCTCGTATCCAATGTACGGTTTATTCCGAAATGTCTTACATTCAATAATAGATTATCGTGAGAAAGAATTTCTTAATCCTTTTGTTAATGCGGATAGTAGATCATGTGGGTTGCACGGGATGCATAAATAAAATAGTAGATCATACTAACACGGGTTGCAAAAATGAAAATAGTATTGTAGATGCAAAAAAGGCCTTTGTTTGTGCATGTGTACAATGCAGATTGTTTCTAATATCGCAATCACGTTCTCTTTATTTCAATAAATATAGTGGGTGAAAAGAAAATTTCAAGTCTGGTGTTACAATCTTGCAAATCTTTAAATGATGGCGTCAACGCGACCATTTCGCATCAAGATATCGGCAATCAAGTCCTGCTCGACTGTCAGTATGAAGATTCTCCCATTTTTGCTCGTTTTCGCTGCCGTAACCTTGGCTTCCGCCGCTACAACGTTTCAGCCGCAAAGGAGATCTGACGTAGCGAATTCTCGCTTAATTGAATCTAACCTCACGAAATATGGAACTTGTGACAGCGGATACTATTTATGTACAGACAGTGAGGGTGGATGTTGTCCATATGATATGACATGTGTTCCTGGCTATCAATGCAGCTATGGTGACGGTTATGGTGGCAGCTCCGGTGGCAGTAGCGGCGATAGTGGCAGTAGCGGCGATAGTGGAAGTAGCGGCAGTAGTGGCAGTAGTGGCAGCTCAAAGAGCAGTACTTTATCCATTGAACTTCCGACAACGACCATCATTGCCATCCTGCTTTATATGTTCGGTCATATGTAACTTGGGTATGCTTTTTATGTTTGTCAGAACTAATGTCTACTTTAAATTATTAATGTAATAACATCTTTTGATAGTGACTCGATCACTGTGGAAGTAAATTATAGTGAGATTAAATGCTTTATTGTCATGGTAATGTAATTATCTTATAAATAAAAACGTACATATACTGTATATGCATCAGCCAGAATAGATGGATACTTAAATTTTATTGTTAGTTAATATCGGGAAGATTTGTAGAATAAGCCTCTTTCATAATATCGAAGTACTGTATATCTACACCTTGTATCAAATAATTCGGATTTAATGTAGTGTATCAGCACGACTTTATGTTAACCTAATTATTATTTTGTTAAACGCAAAGTATTGTGAGAATGAGTTTGTCGTGAGAGAGTCTAATAATTCCGTACTGAAGCCACGTGAAAGCATCTAGCTATAAGCAGTGAGCGAATCTTTATAGTAATTAATAATCTGTTACGTTCCAAACGCGTTTTCGAATTTTAACATTACATGAAACAAACAATATCCAAGGAACCAACCAGATTTGATTTCGATTAGAAGCAATAATAGTCTTGAGAAGATTAAATAGATGGTAGATTATTCAAAAGCTTAAACAGCCTGTCTCTCACTACATCGAAGACCAAATGGAGCAGCTCGTAATATTCATCTTATTATATACTAATACCGCTTTTTTTGTTTACGAGTCAAGTTGTTAAGCTTCTATTAACATTTGTGTGTTTTCATAGTTTGCACTTTAATATGAATAACCAAGTCAGTATCACGTGACATGATTAGCAAGTAAAGAAAGAAAATTTGTCTAGCTGGATAGTCAAAGTCAACAGTATAAATAAAACAGTAATTTACCGGTATTTCAGATGTCTCCTTTGTCCGAACAATAAAGCCTAACATCCTCGTCATTCTTTTTTTGGTAATGTAAATAGATGCATTTAATTTAATTTTGATATTACATGCCCAAGGCACTCACTAACTAGTCTCACTCTTTTAATTCACTAGAACAAATAGCATAACAGATTATTTGTACGACATACTATACCCAAGTACAAAAGTGCAAAACTTAGAATTTAATAGATTATATGGTCATTATTGTCAAATAAGCCTATATATAGAAATAAAAATTAGATCTGACATTGAGATTAAAAATTTAATTTGATTCGATATAAAGTATTTGTAATCAGAGACTCAATTCATTGCGGTTCTCTTACATCAATTTTTGTTTTTATTCTCAAAGCTGGTTTGGTTTAATTTGGCGAATTTTGTAAAGTAGAGCTCTCAGTCTATATGGGTACTTATGACACTATTACTATAAACTTTTTTCAACCCAAGACCGAACTTTTAATGAGGTTAGCGTTAGGATAACATTTGTTAAGTATAATGCAGAGAAAGTAAATATATCGGTGTTACGACGTTAATCGAAAGTGCTTTAGTGTGTATGGTCGGGAACAACGTTAATTTTAGTTGGCATTCTGAGTTGGCATCATTACACTTTATGATATACACTGTAGCTTCAATGCTGTATTACTTTTTGTGAGATTTCCTCCTAACAGACTTTCAGCAGTCCACAATCCCACAGTGTAAGCATAGTGTAACAGCAAATAATTAATCTAATAAATGTGACATTTTTTCTAGCTTGCTTGATACGATTATGGACACAGCAACCCTACAGATGGAAGGTGTTTTTAAACGCACAATTGCACAAGTATTTTAAATACTTAATATAGTCCACTTGAGATAGATTGCTCAGCCAGCGACAAAAACGTCCTTGCCGCGACTCGTCAATATTTTCATCACTGCACTGTACCTTTACTCTTAAATTAATTTTTAAAATATGTTCACTGGTTGATTTTGTTTCAAATGTATTGTGTTTATTACAATGTTTTTAACCGGCCAATTATTTTGTTTATTATTATTATTGTATATTCTAACACTGCTAAAACCGTTTGACTTTAAGTATTTCTCCGCTAATCATTGCGTGCAAAGATGTTCTGCAAAATGAAATTACGATAGACTACTTTAGATATTATCTGTTTAAACTTTGTTTAATATCAAAATTCTTCCCAAATAAATATATTATCCGAAACTTTTAAAACAATGTGCAATTTAATAGAAGCTTATGCACTACGGTTAAATTTCAAAAAAATCACACTTGACCAGGTCTCTCATCTTGGACCTCAGAGTTTCAGTCCATATATAGTCAACATAACTGGATATAGATGTGGACTAAATACAGTTCTGTGCCACTGGTCGACTAAGTAACCAACTTAGGTTAGAGCTTTGAAATTGTTATTTCAAGCTATCAGATTTGAAATTTGCACAACAGTTTAATGCCTGAACACTGGATACGACAATTCAGATGAGTTAAACTCGTGTGTTGGAATCAAACTATACGATATTTGGTGCGTTCTCATCAGTACCTCCCCTGCCATATTTAGTAGTAGATAGTTTGCCAAATCTGGCAATAGTTTGGGGGAGGTAGAGGGGAGGTAATTTACCTCCCCGAGTGCTAAGCTATCTCTCCTACCAAATTTAGTAACGAAACGTTACCAAATCTGGTACAGATTAGAGCACCCTATATCATGATAGGCTTGCGTCTTATGCCTGGCCCATTTGAGCTAGCCAATAATGATACTTCCCAAATGCAGTAGGGGAAGTAGCCAAATTTAGTAGCTCGAAGCGCTACTGATGAGAACGCACTTGATTACCGCTTTTTGTGTTAATAAGGCAACAAGAAACTTCATTCAGAAGAAACGATTTGGTTTTATATGGAAGAGCAAGTGTGGTTTCAAAAAATCGAATAGCAACCGTATATAATTATTAGTAACTGATACTTAATAATATTTTCATATCATAAGTCTTGTTTTTATTTCTGATTCGTTTCACTGAATACATCGATAATATTGAATTAAAGCATACTTTCGCACTACGATAATGAGATGCTACCTACATCAGCTTGCAATGAGAGAACGAAAAAGTGCCCTCGGTCTGACTTTACCGTGATTTGTTTGTTGGGTGTATGTATGAGTGCAGTGAACGGAGGAACGAAGACTTACTGTTTATGAAAGAGTGCGGGATAGTCTCTAGGTAGATTATATGATTGTTGTGGCGCTTGTTATTGTGTGGCTCCGCTTTTTAATCTAACCGTATGTGTGAGATCGACTTGCACCACCAACACAGTCGGTTTGATTGATGCAAGTTGAGATTGTTGTTATGCATTCTAGTAAATACACTACGTAAGCATATTCGTATTCTTTGTCAGCTTTTAAAAGTATGTCTGACTTAATTTATTAAATTAATTATTACCTTCATACATCGCTAATATTAGCCTCTTGCAATAGGCCAATTGACTGCATGATTTGGCGACATAAAACGAGGGCTAAGCTTCTAATTTTCTTTGAACTAACTTTTTTTAGTCAACGCAATTTTAATCTTTCGGCAAGAAATGTCATCGCATTCGTTATTAATCATATTCGTTGGCAAATCTTATATACAGTAGATACGCTCGTTTGAAATAGCATTGTAACATTATACGGTTTATTCTTAATGTCTTAGCCAGCTTTTCTATGAAAAAGAGTCTCCAGCATTAAAAATATATATCTAGCTAACATGTTATATATGCAAAATCCTTTTCCCTATTACGCAACCCACGAACTCTTTAAAGTGTGGCGTTTAATGTTTGTGCCCCCAACACAAATGATATGCATGGTTTTGTCTCACATATGCGTGTGTGTAATACCGCACAAAGAGACTGTTTATTTCAATACATATTGGTACATAACAACTAGAAAAGGGAATTCAATTTCGCATCTCATTTCACAAGGTGTACAAGGTAAACGTTTAAATATGGCGCCTAACGCAACCGCCTAACGCAACCGTCTAACGCAACCGTCTAACGCAACCGTCTAACGCAACCGTCTAGATATTGCATCATCAAGACATTGCATCAAATTATCGTATCATCAAGTTATCGCATCAAGTTATCGCATTAAAGTATCGCATCAAGTTATCGTATCAAGTCCTGCTCGATTGTCAATATGAAGATTTTCACACTTGTACTCGTTCTCGCTGCCGTAACCTTGGCTTCCGCTACAACGTCTCAGCTGCAAAGAAGATCCGACTTAGCGAATTCTCGCTTTATTCAATCTACTAACCTCACGAATTATGAAACTTGTGACAGCGGATACTATTTATGTACAGACGGTGAGGGTGGATGTTGTCCAAATGGTTCGTCATGTCTTCCTGGCTATAAATGCAGTAGCGGCGGTAGTGGCAGTAGTGGCGGTAGCAGCTCAAAGAGCAATACTTTATCCATCGAGCTTCTAACAACGGCCATCGCCATCCTGTTTTATATGTTCGGTCATATGTAACTTGGGTATGCTTTTTATGTTTGTCAGAACTAATGTCTATTTTAAATTATTAATTAATTAGTTATTAATGCAATAACCTCTTTTGATAGTGATGGGCATGATATTTGCGAGCCTACGGTACGATAGGCCGCTAAAGGTGACGATGACTCCATCACGGTGAAAGTAGATTAGAATGCTGTGTAGTGAGGTTAAATGATTTATCCCATTATAATTATCATTATCATAATATTATTGTACACGTATCTTATTGTTTGAATAGAATGAATACCGGCCAAAGCAAAAATAGTGGTTCGTAAATGGTCAGTGATAATGTAATAATTGCCTCCTAAATTTATCGATCGGTTCCACCAAGTAGAATTTGTTTCCTTCACGAGGAGTGTTTCTTTTCACCCAGTATCTAAGTGTACACTTTGTAGAATAATTCAGATTTAATGCAGTGTGTCAGTATGTTTTGTTGCCTACCTATCGCTGAACTGAAACAATGGAGAACCAAGCCATATGGATGTTGGAAACTTGTCTCAGCCACATAAACTCTATTACTACAGTTAACTATACCTCACAAAGCTTCGCTTGATATAAATGAGCATATCCGTAACGATTTTATTTAAATGTCTGTAAAATAATGCTTATTAGACAGGTTATTTAATATTCAATGGGCACCTTTACGATAAAGAAATTTCCTGCAAGGACAAGATTCAGATAGGAATGAAGCGACTCATGAGTTCATTAGTCGTTGTATCTAGATTTGACACATGTTGATGTATATCCTATTAAGCTTGACTGTTATTGTTGTAAAGCACCAAGACCTCCTGATTGGACTACTGGCAATAAGTTTTTGGATTCATTTATTATGGAGTCATGGGGTAATATAATGGGAACGGATACAATGGATTGAATATTCTCTACTGATAAATGTACGAGAAATGACCTCATTACGCCATGGAATTTATAAAACTGAGGTTGATTAGCACTTCCATTGTATATGGAGAAGTTAGGTGAGCGTACTAATCGTGCGAACACAATTTCCGGGTGAATGGACACAATAATAAATTATGCGAACCAGATTAGCTAGACAGTAGTTAGTTTTTCTGTTTCGAATAGAAAACAAGAGGTATAAAATAGACCTCGGTTCTGAGAATGTAATTCGGGGAAACTCTACTACTACTTTACGTCCGTCGAAATAAAAAATTCAATGAAATAGGTCGAGAAAAGCACAGTATAAGTGTATAAGATTGACCCACCCCATACTTTATTTAATTGAATTACATTTTGCCAATTGTCGGACTAGCTTACACCTGGGAGAGCAGCAGTGTACTAGCCGTTTTGGGATTAGTTTTTTTTCAACGGAAGCCTTTGCTCTTCCTACTTCAAACTAAATATCTCTGTCGTATGTAAATCCCGTCCAGGGTCCCAAAACCGCATTTACATAGTAACGGAATTTACTATACAATTAGTGACCTTTAAATCTAGGATTTATACTCACGATCTGTATATTATCGGTCTTGTATACGCTGTCCCTGGATTACTGCATAATCTGCGATTTCTTTGATGGGATTAATCTCAAAGTCGCCTATCGAAACGGGGAATTATACTATCTAACGTATTAAACAATATCCTGATTGCAAAAGTACTAAATAGAATTAATCGGCAAGAATTAATTCTATTCACCGCTGACGGGGAAAGCGGTTTACACTGCGCCAAACGATGCTAAGTATCTTTTATCAGGTAATAAACGATTATATTTGAATCGGATTTCTACTAGAATAAAGAGAACTATCCTAATAGCAACGTCTTGCTTAAGATATTATCGGAACGATGATTTTTAGCTACTATCTACGACTCATATTTATAACTAATTATAGTTGCACTAAATTGTCCAGATTTTTTGGCCAAATGGGGATAATTCAGAATTTTGGATATAACGGGACAATCTAATTTTAGATTCGTCCTAATCGGTGACAGTTGTGTTACTTGGAATCGGAGATTTCGGTAATTTGTTTATGTACATAGAAACCACTTGTTTGAAGCTGTTGACTAAAACGATATTCTCTCTGGCACATTTGCTCTAGAATAGCCATGATAGTTTCTAATCCCACTCTAATATGGTGGCTGTTTGTTCTGAATGCACATCGATCGCGAACTATTCGGAAATTGTAATAGTTGGTATCAACATTTCTTATGATACAGACATTCAATTACATATTTGAGCGCATAGAAACTCTGTGTTGTCGCCTTCATCGAACAATCTTGGGTATCTGCTGAAGTGTGACCTTATTCAATTAAACCGAATTTTCAGCCTTCAATTATGAAATAGACATAAGAAAATGAATGTATCAACAATGATCACTATAACAAGATGCATCACTATAATCACGCAAGCTACTGTAGCTTATCAGCAGAGGGATTATCGACAGTCGTTTTAGTTCGCTGTTCTCCATCCGTTCGATAGGCTAATCAATTCACAATATATATTATCATTCTACAGTATCAAAACATTGGGCATAATGGTTAAGCTTAACGGAGTATCGAGAATTGCATTGTTGAAAACTTTCTGTGAGTCATCTAAACAAGTGTGTGCGCCCAAATAATATTCACAAATTTCCATTTTAATCTGAGGGTGACACCAGGACCTTAGTTGCCTGACAAATTCAGTTTATCGGAACAAGCCCTCGTCTTTCTACTGTATACTACAATGCCTCGAGTATCCAAATATTCGTATAAAGAATGGCTAGAGACAAGCATTCAAGATGGTTCAATATTTTGCTGTCTAGAAGACGATATAAAATTATACGACAGACCTATTGGACTTGGAGCATCTGGAGCGGTATATAAGGGAACTGTAAGATTGAAAAGCCGCTTCAAGATTTTTACCAAGTCAAAAGACAAAAGGCTCAGCGCTCTCTCATCCGGAATGATTGTTGCGGTGAAGACTCTGCTCCCAGACAATCAATACGATTGTGGAGAAGATTTGCATCAACAATTTGTCAAAGAGGTTACCTATTAGCTTTCAGTCATGCCTTGTTGGATTCATATTTGTGTATGTTTAACCTTTGAATATGTTATACGTTAGTTAAAACACCACAAGAAAGTGGGCGACCACCCCAACATTATTCGCTTTTATGGCCTATATAAAGGTATGTTGAGTTTATGGTAATCCCTTGGCTTAATTACAAATCGTAACATCTTATTTAATGCATACAGACCAATATGATAACTATCATATGATCTTCTCCCTGGCTGACAGAGGAAGTTTACGTGAATACCTAAAGAAAAAATGCAAGGATTTATCTTGGAAAGACAGATACAAGCTGAGTCTAGGAATTGCCGATGGACTTAAATATTTACATAAACTTGACATTGTTCACAAAGATTTGGTATTTGTCGCACATGCCGTTTGCATCGTTCTGAAGTTACGTTATGTTTAAACTGACGGGCATACGTTTATTTCTCCAGTCATCGGATAAAATTCTTATCAACTCTCGAGGTAATGCAAAGATAACCGATTTTGGGTTATCAAGAGTGTTGAAACGAGCGATGTTCAAATCTGACACTCTTGCATACAAAGATCCGGTATCGTTCAAGAAAAAGTCATATCAATTTGGAAGGAAATCTGATATATTTAGTCTCGGAGTAATACTATGGGAAGTATCCAGCGGAAAAGCTCCATGCGGAGGACGTACCGAAGGTGTTGACATTATTGAGTATAGGCTTGAGGGCTCTCGTGATCCCCCATTTCCTGAAACGCCGGAAGTATATATTGATCTGTATTCAGAATGTTGGTCCGAAGACCCTAATAAGCGGCCCTTTTGTGAAAGTGTTTATAAGAGGTTGAAGTCTTGTGATGAAGTGGATCATTTTAGCAAAACGTTGAGGATCAAACCAAATGATGTATGGGCATTGAAAAATAGGGGATATATCTATTTTGATTTAGAGCAATTTGACAGATCACTGGATGATTTTACCAAAGCGTTGGACATTGAACCAAATGATGCATACACATTGAGTCGAAGTGGAGCTCTCTATATAAATCTACAACAATATGACAAGGCTCTGACCTGTCTCAACAAATCATTGGAGATTGAACCAAATGATGCATATGCATTGGGTCGAAGGGGAGCTCTCTATATGAACTTGGAACAAGATGACAATGCACTGAACGATTTTAACAAATCATTGGAGATTGAACCAAATGACACATATGCATTGAGTCGAAGAGGAGTCATCTATATGAATTTACAACAATATGACAATGCACTGGCCTATTTCAACAAATCATTGGATATTGAACCAAATGATGCATATGCATTGAGTCAAAGGGGAGTCATGTATATAAATTTACAACAATATGACAAAGCACTATGTGATCTCAACAAAGCATTGGAGATTGAACCAAATGATGCATTTGCATTGAGTCAAAGGGGAGTTGCATATGTAGAGCTAAATGAATATAACAATGCACTGATTGATCTCAACAAATCATTGAAGATTGAACCAAACAATGCCTGTGCATTGAAAAATAAGGGATATATTTATTTTTATTTAAAACAATATAACAATGCACTGAATGAGTTTACAAAATTGTTGGAGATTGAACCAAATGATGCACATGCATTGGGTCAAAGGGGAGCCCTCTATATGAACTTAAAACAAGATGACAATGCACTGAATGATCTCAACAAATTATTGGAGATTGAACCAAATGATGCATATGCATTGAGTCGAAGTGGAGCTCTCTATATAAATCTACAACAGTATGACAAGGCTCTGACCTGTCTCAACAAATCATTGGAGATTGAACCAAATGATGCATATGCATTGAGTCGAAGAGGAGCTCTGTATATGAACTTAAAACAATATGACAATGCACTGAACAATCTCAGCAAATCATTGGAGATTGAACCAAATGATGCATATGCATTGAGTCAAAAAGGTGTTGTATACATGAATTTACAACAATATGATAATGCACTGACCTATCTCAACAAATCATTGGATATTGAACCAAATGATGCATATGCATTGAGTCGAAGAGGAGCTCTGTATATGAATTTACAACAAGACAGCAAAGCACTGAATGATCTCAACAAATCATTGGAGATTGAACCAACTGATGCATATGCATTGAGTCGAAGAGGAGCTCTGTATATGAATTTACAACAAGACAGCAAAGCACTGATTGATCTCAACAAAGCATTGGACATTGAACCAACTGATGCATATGCATTGAGTCAAAGAGGAACTATCTATATAAATCTACAACAATATGACAATGCACTGAATGATCTCAACAAATCATTGGATATTGAACCAAACAACACATATGCATGGAGTCAAAGAGGAGTTCTGTATATAAATTTACAACAATATGACAAAGCACTATTAGATCTCAACAAAATGTTGGAGATTGAACCAAATGATGCACATGCATTGAGTCGAAGAGGAGCTATCTATATAAATCTACAACAATATGACAATGCACTGAATGATCTCAACAAATCATTGGATATTGAACCAAATGACACATATGCATTGAGTCAAAGAAGAAATATATATCTACATTTGGACCAGTTACTGAAAGATCCATTGGAGATTGAATCAAATAATTCATATGCATTGCATCGTGACATGGAAGGTAGTGCAGATGAGTCAGGAGATGATGACAGTATTACTGCATAAAGTTGATCACAGTAATTGTTTATTATTATCCACTTGATGGGATAAATACATATGCAAGACATAATCCACTGCTGAAAATGTTACCTCAGAAATCATGTGAGAATGAGCACAAGTTATAGTTAGGCTATATACTAATACCTATGCTGATGCAACAGCATAGATTACAATCTTTTTTGAGCAAAAGTATCAAGCAGAGAGTTCCAGTCCTGAATTAACAAAAATTCTCTTTACAGATCTGAGATTAATGTGTTGTTTTTATTTTGTTTAAATCATGTCATGTATAATTTGTCATTAAGGAAGGAAGTTGTCTCAAAACATTGTGATAGTGGAACTACAGAACTATTGGAGCTAATACTAAATCGAATACATAGAAAGGTTACTCAAAGTAGTTATTATTGGAGGATTGATGCTTTATATCCAGTTACCTGTTTTCCAATTTATTGTATGTGAAAATAATAAATTCGACGGAGCATCTCTTGTTAGGGAATTTTTGTTAGATTAGTGGGTTAATGTTAATACTTCATATGCATTCCCATCTGAGTTAGGTTTCTGGCCAGCTGGAGCTCTGAGCAGTCCTTGCGGTTGAATGGTAAAGTCAGCAGATAATAACTATTTATAAGATCCTCTTTATACACACCATGTAATTGCAAAGCGATTCTAGCTGCTGTTCCATGAGATGTTCTAGGTGCTTCATAGGCCATGATTTTCCAATTAACTAAATGGGGAGCTTTTGTTTAATTTTGCAATACTTGATATAGGCTTTGAGGAACGCATTTTCAGCAACAATGATTGGCAGTATCTTTGCTCACTTCTAGTTTTTCTTCTCAGAATGCAAGGAAATGATCTTGATTGCTTGCCTAAGTAGAGTCGATTGTATATGAAAAGTTGAGACAGTTGAAATAGTAGAACTAATAAGATATAAACAAATGCATGTCAGTGGGTGATTATCTTTTCTCTTTTCAATACTTTTCGCATACACAACCAATAAATAGATTGAATTGTTCTGTTCACGACTAATAACGTTTAAAAATAAATTTCCCTGTCTAGCTCTAAAAACTTAAAATTTTTTAGTATATTATCAAACACGTTCTATTTGCCAACCCATTCATAGCATGTGCTTAGCCATTGCGGATTTTGCTCAAAACCTTAAATAAACAAATAAGCTTAAAAAACCAATATTGCCAAATTACTGTACTTGTACAGTGTACAATAGTTCGAGTAAAATATTAGTGCGAGTATTGTGAACGTTATATCAGTTTTTAACAGTATATCGATGTCGGTGTGAGAGTAAATTATGCACGACTAACCAACAATGCCTATTTCAATAGGCTCACATTAAAATATTATACAAAGGAATAACATACTCTGTCGTTCTAATCGGTTCTAATCGGTTCTGCCGATTATAGAATCTATGTTTTCGTAGTGTCAGCATTCTGAAAAATCTGCGATATAACACAAAAATTGTTGAAGCAAATTGTCGCTTGAAAAACTTTTATTTCGTAAATTATCAAAAGGTCAAATTGAATTGACAATATCGACTACGCTATTCACAAGAATACGTATGAGATGAACGAACTGCCCCAGTAGGCTGGAGGTTTTGTTGCAGGAGCGTGACTTCTGTATTACATCTCTGGCCAGTTAAAATATTTTTATCT